CATGGAATTTGGTACAGACATTCAAGGATAAACTGTAGTGACTTTGTTTATCCCCTAACCTTTTAGTTCACTTTTGGTTCAGTAAATTGTCTCAGTTGAGCAAAATGTCTCCACAGCAGTACTCTGGTTTATAAAAACTGATGATATTTCCATCAGTCTAACATTTACTAACAAATGTTTGCATGCTAAGCTAGGTGAACAAGGTAAACATTGAGTGCTTAACATCACCAGCATGTTAACATGAGCGTGTTTGCGTGCTGGAATTAGCATTTAGCTCAAAGCACCACTAAACACAGCCTTAAAGAGCTGCTGACATGTACACACTTAGTATTGTTGATTGAGTTATAATATCTTGTTTTTTTTTAGATAACAGGCTTAAAATATGGGCAAGTTTGTTACCTCCATCATCACTGTTTATAAGTCATGACTGATAGAAAATGGGCCTTAAAAATTTATGATCATGATGATTTTCAGCTTTATCATTACAAATGATATAAAGACAGAAACCTATCAACTGAGTGGATCACAGCATGAACACACGCAAAGCATCCCATATCCCTATCCATCAATGCTACAAGTCAAATACAAACATTTACTTTTTCTTTCAATAAACTGCTGTTCATCTCAGGAACAACAGTAATGATGACAAAGAGCATTTTAACAGCAGTTGACAGTCAAATGATTCTTTTCTTTGTTTTAGTTTCGAGTGTTAATGAACATTCAAATTGCTGCATGAGGAAAAAAATGAAAAAGGAGTCAGTCACAAAGTCTCAATGCTGAACTTTTCCAAACTTTTCAAAACAATGAATCTTTTCAGGCTCTGTAACTGTCCAAGGCTTAAACCTAAAGATCTATCATCAACAGAGATACAGAACAGCAGCCCTCTTAGAATTAGTCCAGAAGTGTCCCATTCTGATGCAGCATTGATACTGCCTGTGCGTTAATCTCTCTGGTCTCAGTCTGGATTCAGGAGTGTCTTTCAGCAGTAGACGGACCAGTAGATAAGGTTGAAAAAGATGTACGAACCAGGGAAAATCATCCGGGAGTATTTGTCAATTGCATGCGTGTTCTGGATGATGTTGATTGCACGCAGGCTCTTCTTCTTCTTGGTGGTAGTGGACTCACTGCTCACAGACAGATGGACCACCATGTGTTCAGGTTTCTCTAGAACCTCGTGCAGCTCTTCCTGCTCCTCCTCCGGTACCATGGGCTCCTCGGTGTAGCCGGCCAGGCTGTTGGTGTCAGCCTCGCTGTAGGTGCCATCTAACATGGTCATAGTTCGCGTCTGGGAGATCCCGCAAGTGCAGGGCAGGGACTGGCAGGGAAGAAAAATACAATTTCATCATTATTATGGAATACAAGTTTTAAAGGAATGGAAGTCATCAAAAGTGTCCTGAATAGATGGTTGACTTCGGTAATCCATACTAATACCGTTTTTGTCCTGGTAATCGTGGGCCTAATTATGGCAGTTCATTTGTTGGTTGCTCAAACACTTTGGTCCAGAGTTAGACATCTCAGCAAAAGGCAACAATACCATAATATTAAGTATGAATATGCACTGTCCCTAAAAGACAGATCAATTTAACTGTGGTGACGTGGCTTTCACAAGGTCAACATTTCCTCTCGATTGAGGCTTTTGTCAATGATAAGGTATCTCAAACACAGATGGCTGAATTTCCATAAAACCTGCTATGGATATTTATGGTCCCCAGAGGATGGATATAGGTGTTATTATTGGCCCCCCTCACCTTTTCTGTAGAACCGTTGGGCCTAATGATGGCAGTGAGTGTAGATTTGGTTGCTCAAACACTGTACCAAAACTACCAGCAACAATGCTATATTTGGAACATTTCTTTTGACTGATGCTCAAGGTATCATCAAAATTTCCAAACTACTGTGGACATTTATGGTCCCAAAAGGGTGAATCTCTATGTTATTGCTGACCCCATGACTCTCCCATACAGTGGGGCCTAAGGATCCCATTGTTTGTTCATCTGTTGGCTGCAACAACTCCAGAACAAGAAATCAACAGAACGAGGTATGTAACATACACCTGACGTAATGTACGTTAATTGATGTACAGAACTTAAAATAAACACTTCTCTTTTGGTTTCACATGGGACAAAACAGTGGTCTCCACCTCACCCCTTGCATATGCAGACCTTTCATGATTGATACTATTATCACCTGACTTTGAACTTGCATTTCAAGCCCCGTTAGTTTCTCTTTCACGAAGGATGAAGGGCAGAGTTGTGATCTTCAATTACACTACTAGATGCCGCAAAGCCTACACACTGGTCCTTTAAAAATGTCAGCTTTAATGAAAACTGAAGCCTGAAAAAGGGCTGCTGGAATGGCTTTACATATTCAACCATGTTAAAGGGATATGTCCTGTGTAATTCTATAATTTTCTTATTGTCAACAAACCCATGAACAAACAAAACAGCAATGTGTTATTCTGTCTCTAAGTACTCCTGATTTCTCTACCCTGTCTGTGGCTCTGACGACATATCTTTAAACGCACCTGACCATAGTTTCACTTTGTAAAAATTATGTTTTCTAGTGAGTATCCTTGGTAAATGGTAAATGGACCTTTATTGTATAGGCCTTTCTAGTCTTCCGACCACTCAAAGCGCTTTTACACTACGTGCCACATTCACCCTTTCACACACATTCACTCAGTGATGGCAAAGTCCATCGAACAGAAACTAACTCATTCATACATCCTTGCAGCAGTACAGTGTGCCGCGTGGCACTGAGTCAAAATAAACAGTAGTGCTGGGTTTGGCACTGCACATTGGGATTTGTTGAAAGTTGTTTGAGAAAAATATAAAATATCACCAGGCTTATCTTTTAAAACGGTTCACAGACTCTGCTGCACTTTGGTTTCTGGTCTTTTAATTTCCGACAAACAGAGAATCAGAGTCCATAGAAAGTTTATTTTGCTGCTCACTAATAATTCATAGCTTATTGCCATGATTTTGTTTGCAGTTATTTGATCAAGTACAATTAATGATAAACACAGACAACCATTTTAGGAGTGTTTAGTCTGTAAAGTACAGACATCAAACAGTGGATCAGTGAGTGTAAAGACAGCAGTGGACGATTGATTCACTGACACTGCCACACCTTCTATAATGAGTAGTACTTGCTCTGTGCCTGGACTCACGAAAATTAATTCAGTGTCTATATCAGCAAACCAATTCTTTTTGTGAGAGAGATTTGACATTAAAACATTATATTTGAAGACATCAAGCAGACTATTTCCAAGGACCAGTGTGTAGGATTTATAGTGGTGAAGTTGTAGACTGCAACTAACTGAATACAGCTCAGCTTTCCAGGGTTCCAAGTGTAGGAGAAACTACAGTGGCCGCAAAAATAGTGAAAGGCCCAATCTAGAGCCATGGCGGTTCAACATGACGGACTTCGCAGATAAACATATAGACATTGGACCTTTAAAAGATGCTGGTACTACAAGTATAATAATTCCCACCTAATTCATTTGTCATATTTACCTAATAACAGATTTATTACCGTGATGCATTTACTGTAATATAAATTTTGAATCAGTTTAATGGCCACTTGTGTACACTAGCTTAACTCCCCAAACTGCAGTGGTGGCTTAGTGTATTTGTACAGTTTCTCCAGTATATTTGTTCTGTACACATCATTATCTTTTAGAGTTGACTGCACTGAATGCAGTGGATCCCATGGAGACTTAAAAACTGTATCAGCGTGAATTTCTTTTTTTAATTCAAGGTCTAAAAAGTGTTTGGAATCTCATGAGGGAATGAATTGTAGGTGATGCTTGGCAAACTTTGTTTTTTCTTTTCATTCTTTTGGGCTTGTGAGTCCTTAAAAGTCCAGTGTGTAACATTTCGGAGGATCTATTCAGAATATTCATATGTATTTTTTCATTAGTATATAATCACCTAAAAATAAGAATTGTTGCGTTTTTGCTGCATTTTCCATGGCCTGCCCTGATCTTTCTGCAAACTTTTTTTCTTTTGCTTTTCCTATTTTGTTTGTTATTTGTGGATTTAAACAGTGTTGTAGCAAGATCCTTTATTCATCCAAAACCTAATCCTGTCATTGGAGTTCAACGGGCTAACTTTCAAAGAGATCTCTCGTTTTTTAGGGATGTTATGTTTCCCAACTTTCCCCAAACCATGCAGTTAACTGCAGGATGCAAACACTCATTGTTCTTGCTCTTTGTTCCACTTTTTTTCACTGTGTTTGTGTTTGTATCCAGACAGCCTGACAGATGCTCTTGTCAGTGAAATTGCAGAAAGTCAGCAAGAGTGGCTGGAGCCTTTGGAGTCTGGATCCTCTGCAAACCTATAGGGACTGCCCTGGCTCACACACAGAGGGAAGGATGCCTCTTTTTATTAATATTGTATGCCAGTTTGGAGTTCCAGCACCAAACAGCAAACGCAAGAAACAAACCTGCGATCGTGCCCGCTCTCTCATCTTGCGCTCCCGGCGGTCCTGGACGGTCGACAGGTAGTTGACGGCGGCATACTCCAACACGGACAAGAAAACAAAGACGAAGCTGACCCAGAGGTAAATGTCTACTGCCTTGATGTAGGACACCCGGGGCATAGACGCATTGACTCCAGTGATGATGGTGGACATGGTCAGCACTGTGGTGATGCCTAGACATAAGAAAGACAACGTTCTAGTTAGACTCCAGCGAGTTGAAAATGTGTTTGAATCTGAGTTTGTGTATTTTTTTGTTCATTTCACAGTGTAGACACAGTGTATGGCTTCCAATAACATGACCACTTCTACAATATGATGCAATATGATCCAGTAGTCCGGCAATAAATAGGACCCTGTGAAGCTCCCAGTCAGCATGGTTTAGATGATTTGCAGGTGAGAAGGTGTCAGTGGTGGAGAAGTACTTACTAAAAGCAAAGTAGTAGAAATAGTTTGTAAAATCCAGGCTTTCAAAAACTGACTTAAAGCGTCTCATTCTAAGGAAACAAAACCACAATTCTTATTTTCAGGT